TTAAAATGTAATGTAATTTATTTTTATTTCAATGACACTTCAGGATTTCCAAGACAGTGGGGAACCATATTTCCTAAATAAGTTATAGAGATAACAATTAAAAGTAAGAAATATGATGTCAGTTTTCATCCTTTTCATCATTTCTCTATGTTTTGCCTAATTTTGAAACACATTTTGTCTTATTTGAAAAAGTAATTTAAAGAGATCACTCTTAGTATAAAACGTTGGTGGTTTTAGGCACAATTGGGTCCATCTCACTTTGTCTGAGAGCTTCAAGAATGTCCTGGAACTCAAGTTTCAACAAAGGCATCCCTGTTTACATTGTGATCCCTGAGATATTGTCATCTGAGGCACAAAACATCGCTGATGGATGCCTGATAAGAGACCTTCAGCATATAGAGCGAGGAAAGAGTTTGCTCAGCAGGACCAAACTTTGCTCACTTACCCTTTGGGCTTTTCATGCAGGTTTCCCTCTGTTTGTTTTATTGCTGAGGTTTTTGTGTAAAGTCTGTGCTCCTGTGAGGACAGACTGACCTGTGGCGGTTCCACTGGGGGACGATCTGAAGTGTTTTGGAGGGAAAACAAAAGCAGACACCTCGCCCAGTGCTGTACGTGAGCAGAATAAACACTGACTCTAATTGCTCGTTGTCACTGTGAGAATGAAGGTTCCGTATTCATTTATTACCCTTTTTTTATTTCATTGCCCTTCCACAAAAAGCTCGTAAGCCAATATTGGGTTGCACTAATCGAGCTGCCATCTTTACTAATGAGTTTCCCTATATTGGTTAACCTCAGAGTCACTTGATGGAAGCGGCTCTGAGCTTCCGTTAACTTCCCCACAGCCTTCCCACACAATCCGCGTGGGCTCCCTGGGAACGTGAGCTCAGCCAGATGGGCTGCACCAGCACCGCCGCTCATGCTTTATTATGGACGTGTTCGCCATACAGCTGTTGTTTTTCTCTCTCAGCAAATGTGTCTGTCTCCAAACGAGAGCTCAGGGCTGGGGAGAGATTGCCGGCTGTGCCGCCTCGTCCCCACAGCTCTTCCAGTTTCCTCTGAACAATGTAATCGTGGAGGCGCAGGCCTTTAGTTTGTCAGAAAACCGCCTTCCTGTCATACTTCATGTGTATGTTCTCTTTGAAATCACTAAGAGGTCGTTAAAAGGCCGTTAGATGGTTCAGTTGAAAATGTCTCTGCATTCCTGGAAAATGGCCCACAGGCTGCGTAAGCATTCAATAACTAATGCTCATTTTTGTATCTCATTTTTTCTTTTTGTTTGGGTTGGCTACTAGAATCATGTGATATCTGTGGATATACATCTTCTGCTCTGGTTTTGCTCTCTTTTTAATCAAATATCACAGCAAAACCTTTGTTTTGGACATGAAGTATGGTAGTGCCATGCTAGTTCACTAACAAAAAGTACAAGCATTGATTATATCATGGGTTTTTGGACATGTACTACATAAACTATTGTTCAAAAGCAAGTTCATTTAAAAAAAAAAAATGTTTTTGGCAGTCTCTTATGCTCACAAAAGCATTTATTTGAGTAAAAACAATAACATTGCTAATTCTTATTAAAAGTGTATTACAATTATTACAACTTGTTTTTCTATTTGAATATATTTTAAAATATAACTTATTCTTGTGATGCAAAGCTGAATTTTCAGCATCAGTCCTTTAGAAATCATTCTAATATGCTGGTTTGCTGTTCGAGAAATTTATTATTATTATTATTAATTTAATGTGTCCTTGCTGAATAAAAATATCAGTTTCTTAGGCAGTATATCTGTGAAGTAGTGTATTGCCACAATTTTATTTTTATTTTAATTCATTTTTATTTTATTCTGTTCATTCTACTCTACTCTATTTTATTTTTTTATTTTATTTAATTTTTTAGTAGTTTTTAAAATATAGTCACTTTGATAATGTCTTTTAGAAAGGCTTCTTTCGTTTTCAGTATCATGGTTTGTGTTTTAATGCAGATGTTTGTGTGGTTAATCTTTTAGACTTAATTTAACAGAACTGCGTCATGATGTCTGTCTGGAGTGTCTCGCATACACGCTGGATAATGCAAATATGCTTTCAAACTCTTGTTTGCCTGCTTTGAGAATTAACCTTGTACGTGATTGACCTAAATGTGTCAGTATTTGAGAAGTAGAACTGTTTTTAGAATTCTTTAGCTGTGAAGATCAGATGTCAAAAAAGCAATTAATACAAATTTGACCTGTTTCTAACCTCTTCATGGCTCTGTTACTTTCCATCTTGCAGCATTCCATCCTGAGCTCCGATTTCACTCTTTTGTGCACTGCATAGTATCCAGAACAACAAGAACAAAACATTTATTTCGTAAATGAGAAAAATGTTGGTTGAGCTCAAGTCTTTGAGGTTTGGCTTGGTTCTCTGAGAAAGTACAAATCTGTATATTTAAGCAAAAATGGCACATTTGCTTTTTTAATGGATTTATATAGACCGAGACGCCAGAATGTGAGCAAAATGTGGCTTGTGTTGAAATCCTCTCAGTTCTTCAATGCTTTAAAGTTGTTATTACCTAATTACACTCCCTCATTAATGTTTGTGTTCTCATTTGTATGTTACAGTGGCTTATATTGTGAAGAACAGAATGAAAAAGAAACAAAAACTCCACTTACTAAAATAGTGCAGCAGCAACACAAGTGATGCTTTAAGTTATAATACTGTGGTACTTTGAGGTGGACATGTGGCCCACCAATAAGGTGCTTGATTTTTCAGTTCATGAAAGGTAGCTTTGGAAAGCAATGGTGGGTGCCATGATCACATTTTCCCCTCCAAGTGATTTGAGGACACAGACTTTGGCCTTTTATCTATTAACTCTGTATATTTTGTTCAAACTCCCAATTGCTCACTGAAGCTGTGACTGGGAATAGTTAGCAGAAAAACAACCTTGAGGATGCCCTCCTGAACAATTCTTTCAGGCCTCTCCTCATCTCGCAAACACAGATGTAGCCACTTGAACATGCTATTCTGATCGTTCACTCGAGGCGCCTGTTTTCTTCTGCTTTTGTGTCTTCCTCCTCCCCTGCTTACCCTCACACATTCACACTTTACAGCAGAAAGGAAGGAAATTGAGGTCTGGATTGCTGGAAAATATTCTCCTGTTGGTTCGCTGGCTGGAAGGCTATCGGAAGCTCTTATAAGCTGAGTTATGTTGAAAAGACGGACGCTGTTTTTCATTTTCTCATCCTCTATTCTGTCGGTTTTGAAAATAGTAGTTCAGTGGGAGCATTGCACGTTGCAGTTTGCTGTTCTGAATCACATATTGATTCACTACTGTTCAAAAGTTTGGGATCAATAAGAATTTTTTCTTTTATTCAGCATGGATGCATTAAACTGATCGAATGTTCGATTTCTATTTCAAATAAATGCCATTTTTTTGAGCTTTCTGTTCATCAAAAAATACTGAAAAAAGTTATTGTGGTTTCCACAAAAATGTTAATTAGCACTACTGTTTTCAACACTGATAATAATAAGAAATATTTATTGAGCAAAATTCAGCATATTAGAATGATTTCTGAAGGATCACGGGACACTGAAGACTGGAGTAATGATGCTGAAAATTCAGCTTTGCATCTCAGGAATAAATTACATTACTTACTTACAGACTTCCTTCCTTCCTGACTTCCGACCGACCTTCCTGACTTCCTTCCTTCCTGACTTCCTTCCAGACTTCCTTCCTTCCTGACTTCCTTCCAGACTTCCTTCCTGACTTCCTGACTGATTGACTTCCTTCCAGACGTCCTTCCTTCCTGACTTCCTTCCTTCCAGACTTCTTTCCAGAGGCGTCATACCCATGAGCCAAGTGCATTTTGAATGCAGCTTCCAAAAGACAAAAATAGCCGAATAATATTTTTTATATTTGAAACAATTGCACCGGTGTGATTAAATAGTTCTGGCGCTGAGCCAGAAACACGCGTTTTTACAGTGCTGCGCATTATAACCAATCACAAACGATTCTGTTGAGCTTATGAATGCAATGGCCAATCAGAGATGTTCAGATGAGTCGTCGCTGAAACGAGGTGTTTTGCTCTCATCAGAAACAACAAAGTGCAGATGTGCGTATGAATGTAAGCAAGATATTCATTTCACAGTGTAAACCGCTTCAGTGATTTACTATAGTCTAATTTGCCCATCACCATTGATCAAATAACATAATCTATAAAAGTGCAAAACGCATTTACTTACACATATTTGAGAATCTAGATGGCCAGATATAGGCTAGTTAACACGTTTGGAAATATTTTGAATAAAAAGAAAAAAATAAATAAATAAAACACAAGCCTATATCAGTTATACAGTGCTATGATTTGACAGTGGTGAAAGGACAGCAAATTATGGGAAATAAGATTCACAGGATCCAAACTTGCTTATTTATTTGCTTATAGTTTTTTTTTATATATATATATAGATTTTTGCCTGTTTTGCCACTTTTGATTTGACAGTGGTGAAAGGACAGCAAATTATGGGAAATAAGATTCACAGGATCCAAACTTGCTTATTTATTTGCTTATAGTTTTTTTTTATATATATATATAGATTTTTGCCTGTTTTGCCACTTTTGATTTGACAGTGGTGAAAGGACAGCAAATTATGGGAAATGAGATTCACAGGATTCAAACATATTTATTTATTTAATTTACTTGCTTATTTGCTTGTTCTGTGTTTTGTTTTATTTTTTTTGTCCTTTTTGCCACTTTTTGACAGTGGTGTGAGGACAGCAAATTATGGAATATGAGACTAAAAGGATCATTAATGAACATGTGGTGATGAAATTGACAGTCTCGTTTGTAAAATGGATTGCTGTGGACTGTGAGCCAGTGATGGGTTTATGCTTAATAAAAGTGACTTAAAGGGTTAGTTCACCCAAAAATGAAAATTAGGCTGCGTTTTACTCACCCCCGATGCATCCTAGGTGTATATGACTTTCTAGCCTAATTTTTATTTTTGGGTGAACTAACCCTTTAAGCCACTTTTTTGTTTATTCAATTCTCTACTTTTCTGTCGCAGTCATGTTAATACCTTTTAATGATCTTCTTTTGGACTTGTAGCTAATCAGCTAATGTGGATGTGCTTTTAATGAATTACGATAATCGGCATATCACAATAAATTCATTTTAGTATTCTTATCCATTGCCTTCTCTGGTGAAAATATCAAAAGCTCATTGTTCATTGGAAGGATTGCAGGTTTTCAGAAGGATTTGATTCTCTTGATGTGCGAGAGATGGTTTTTTTGACAGCACGCCAACATTCCTCTGGATTTATGCCTCTCAGAGACTGTGCTCTCGGTTAATGAGTTACATCTTCACTGCATACCGTGTATCTGCTCCACTCTGATAGCGCTCAATCCTGTTAGAGAAAGACAACACATGCAAATTCCACAGGCGTCTTTTTGCAAAAGAATCGGCCTGTTTGTCTTTTCTTCCTCACCTGAGCCTGATTGATTCTTTTGTTGCCTGTCAGAAACATAGAGGTTAATTATCAGGCATTGATAACACATGATAAACAAAACGGTACAAAGCTTTGTTAGGCTGTTTTGTGGTTTGTTTCCTATTTGGCTCCAGGTAGCACTTCCGCTCTCATCAGAGAGTTGTGCATAAAATGAGCGCAGCAGTGCACAGCAGACGCGTCTGTGATTTATATTACACTGATGGTGTTTCTTCAACGCAGCTTGAGCACTCGCTTCAAAACAGAAAATCTGCTGCAAATTTATTCCCCGTGGCAGAGAGTGTGGCTGTGTGAAAACAGCCTTCAACTCCAATTAAAGTTTGAGACGACTTGAGTGGCTAGGAAGAAAAGGTGTAAAAAAAAAAAGTATTTTCTAGAGCTTTTAACGTTTGTCACACAGCCGCTGAAATAATTAAATCCGTTTAATCACAGCTGAAAGTGTAAGTGAAAGTGCTGCTTGGTGGTTCTCTGTTCCATTTGTGAACTGTAAGAATGCTAAATGCAGCGAATGGTGTTATTCATTAGCTTGTTTATACTGATGTTCTGAGCGAAGGACAAGACAAACGAAGTAACAAAAGAATGCTTCTCATCACTAGACAACCACATGTCTTAATAGTAGTTTTTATGATACGTATACCCTACCTTGACCCTTTATGTGCTTAATAACAATGCATTTCATGTTTAGTTTTTGTGAATATGTATTATTAATACACAAATATTTATGGTATTAATAATAATACATCCAATTTCTTTCTTAACTATGCCTTTTTCAGTGGTTGTTTAAATATTTGAATGTCTGTAATGTAGTGAAATGTTCGTGCTCACTTTACTTATATATAAATCACAATACTCACTCACTATACTTGTATATAAATAATTGTTTATTTAATTTGCTATAATATAAAGCTGATTTCCCACATAGCTTTGCTAGTCTTTAGAATCATTTCACATTTTTCACATTCTCTTATAATAAAATAATTTACTTATTTAATAATTATTAATTTTTTTGACAAAAACAGTAGTTTGTTTTTATCCATCCATCCTTTCCTACATATCTTTGCTTGTCTCTAGAATCATTCCACCTTTTTCATTTCTTATAATAAATTAATTGAAACTTAAAACATTTTTAACAAAAACCATAGTTTGTTTGTGTGTTTGTTATTTCCTACATAGCTTTGCCAGTCTCTTTTTTTCTCTTATAATAAAATAATTTAAACTTAAAACATTTTTAACAAAGACCATAGTTTATTTCATTTTACTTTTTATTTTATTTTATTTTATTTTAATCTGTTATTTCATACATAGCTATGCAAGTCTCTTTCTTCTCTTATAATAAAATAATTTAAACTTTTTTTTTTTTTTTTACAAAACAGTAGTTTGTTTTATTCTTTATCTATTTATTTGATTTTATCTGTTATTTTTATTTATATCTATTTGTTGTTTATATTTAATTTATTTCAATCTGTTTGTTTAATTATATTTATTTGTTATTTGTATTATTTGTTTGTTTGTTTGTTTGTTTGTTTGTTTGTTATGCAAAATCAGCCAGTCATTCTCATAATAAACTCATTAAAAGGATAGTTTACCCAAAAATTCTGTCATTAATTACTCACCCTCATGTCTCACCCTCACTTTTCGTTCATCTTCGGAACACAAATTTATTATTATTACGCCATTTTAGAGAGTATCACAATGCATATACGCACGCTTTCCCCTAAGCGTAAACAACGCTGATTACGTTGATTATGCTCTTATACTCTCCAAAATGGCAGAAGACGTAACTCGGGGGAGAAGAATTGTTATATAAATTGTTATTTTTTTACCGATGTCCTTACTACGTTTCTGGACCTGGGAACATTACAGTTGCGTTGCTGTCTATGCAGGGTCTGAGAGCTCTCGGATTTAATCAAAAATATCTTAATTTGTGTTCCGAAGATGAACGAAGGTCTTACGGGGTTGCAACGACATGAGGGTGAGTAATTAATGACAGAGTTTTCATTTTGGGGTGAACTAACCCTTTAAGGCTGATGGACTGATTCTGATCTGGCTTTATTTTGCAATAAACTGCTGCCTGTACATTATCTACTGATTCATGTAACATTTGTAACATGGACACTCATTTTTATTGTGGCTTTTGTTAAGAATCTAGTTTTAGTGGGTTGCTGTCGGCCGTCTCAGTCTCAATGTTCACTTTTCTCTAGGTAAGATGTCAGACGCCCGTGCCGTGCGCAAACAACAGCAGCTCAACAACCTGGTTGCCATGGTGATGGAGCTGGCCCGCCCTGGGCACACGGTGGTGGATTTCTGCAGCGGCAGGGGGTAAGTTGCCTTCTGACATTATAAAAAAGTCTTGGACTTGTTTCTGTTTTCTTACGAGAGTCTGTATGTGTGTCAGTAAGCATCTGTTCTCCTCCCTTGTCACCTCATGTAATCTTAGGGAGTGCTCTTGTTATTCTGTGCATACATATAAGGCCTGTGAGCAACAGGTCAATATTCTGATGGGCGTCTGTGTTCTCGTCAGCAGACTTTGATCTGATGAGCTCTTTAAAGTCTGCTTCTCCAAGATCTTCTGCAGCTTTCTCTTTGTTTGTTTTCTTAGGGGCACGTTGGGATTGTTTTGGCGTACACGCTTCCTAAATGTCAGGTAAGACTTTCTGATTTGTTCAAGTGTAGCAAGTTCAAGTTAAAGGAGTGAAAGAAGAGAAACTAAATCTGTCTTCCTCCCAGGTGACCTCATTTGTAGACACTGGAAAAATAAACTGATTCCACACTGTTCATGTTTTTTTTTCTTCCCCAAAGACCTTGGGAAGCTTGTACTTTAACCAGCGCGAATAGGAAAATCAGCTCTGCGTTACAATACTCTTTGAGCACTAATACACATTTGATGGTTCAGTGGATTATTAGGTAGTCATTTAGAAGATGTACTTCGTTTTCTCTCCTGATTTTCTTTCCTTTTGATGAAATGGCTTTTCAAAGATAAGCAGTTTGAGAATCAATGAGCAATTTGGCAATGAACCAGTAAACTGTAAAAGATATTATATGTGGCATGTTGAAATATCCCCTTTTTTTGTTTTCACTCAGGTTATTCTCATTGAAAATAAAGAGGAGTCTTTGGTCAGGGCCAGAGACCGAAGCGCTCAGCTCGGATTGACAAACATCGGCTTCATCCAGACAAACCTCGACTATTTCACTGGAAACTTCAACATTGGGGTGAGCGCCACATTTTGTTTTACGTATGCATGATAACTGTCTGTGAAGAACAAGACCGAAATGGTTTTGTTGTTGTAATTGTAATTGTGTGTGTGTGTGTGTGTGTGTGTGTGTGTAGGAATTGGTTCATAACTCATCCAGCATTTGTGCTATTGTCATGAATGATACTTTAAGTATGTGTGTAATATAATATTGACAGTGAGATCCAAATTCTTATATTTTGCAGTCTTTCATAATATAATACAGTTTTTCTTTAATAATTAGTAGGGATGTAAAATCGATACAAATATGTGACGATTTAAATCGGTTGAGATGTTAAACGAATCGCGATGCAGTTGGGGTAGGATTTTTTTTTAGATTTGATTAGTTTTTAATTTAGATTAAAAACGGTTTAATTTAGATTAAAAACTGCTCATGCTGCATGCTTGGATCATAATTAAAATGCAGTGGTTGCCTCTAATTTTAAATGGAAAGAGCACAGGCAAAGCCTTAGTTTGTTTATATGAAGAGATTTGATTTGGGGTTTGTTTTAAAATTTCAGTTTAGTTATGTTATTCGACATATTTTAATTTCTCAAAGAAATGTGCCGCATTTTTTCCACGCAATAATAAAAGGACACCTTTTTCATTTATAATTTGTCTTAAATTTCATTTTGTTGAAAAAATCGCGAGAAAATTGTATCGCATCGTGAGTTGAGTAAATCATAACATCGTGTAAAAATTTTTGCAATCATTGTTTCATTTTGAACATGAAGGTTAAATATTTCATAGTGTTTCTTTGTTACATTTTTCAAAATCTTTGTTTAATTGTTTATTTCCACTTTTACATTATATTTTGAATCCTTTATTTTCAGTGTGATCTCAGACATTTGGACTCCACTTATAGCCTTTCATAGATAATTGCTTTTGTTAATGTTTGCTTACAGCATTTGTTCTTGCTACAAGCAGTTTCAATAATTTCACATGAAGAACATACATTTTTGCCAGAAGGTATAGGTATCTCTTCATTTGCATTGTAAAGCCTGTTTAAAAGGATGGATTCTGGCACTCCGTCGTTGCAGCATGTTTGATTCGACCTGCCATCCATATTAATTATGCAGTTAACCCTCATGTTTGTCCTTCATTTTGCTTCAAAAGTGAGTGGGTTTCTCATTTCTGTGTTTTGAGTGATGAAATTGACTCATCGACATTTCCAAACATACTGCATTCAGTTTTTCCGTAGTTTTTCATTTGCTGAAGTGTTGCAACCACAAACATATTAGAAATGAGACCGCAAGTTTCTATTACAGAAGTCTAGTTGGATTATACCAGTGTTAAGCAGTCTCTGACCTTAAGACAGAAATATATTTGCTTTTTATAAAACATTAATACTGAAGTATTTATTTTTCGTACAGCACTGGTAAATAGTTTTGGCTTGTTTCTAACAGAAATCTCAACATTTTCTTACAGTTTGCCCATGTGGTTAAAAAAATAAACATAACACAAGATATTTTATCTGAAAACAGTTTTCAGATAAAAATACTGATTAATAAACTGTTTTTTTTTTTTTTGCTGTGTAATCTTTGAGGGACACCGTTGTGTCTGTAATAAATGAAGAAGTATGTGCTTGCTGCAGTTCTTGTGTTTGTTTCTGGCAGTAATGAGATGTTTGGGCCTGCAGCCCTGGCCTCATCTCCACAGAGAGCTGCGGCTGCAGTATTGAGCTTCACATGCGGCCGGGGTTAGGGGATTATCAGCTACCCACACAAAGGGGCTTTATCAAACCTTCACTGTTTCCCAAAACTAATACCTGTATCTCTGTGTAGAGCTTCTTTTGGGAAACTAGCACAATCGTAAAAAATAAGAACGTGCAAGATTCATATCGAACAGTCACTTAAAAAATTTGTCACATTTACCATCCTAGGTTTATTTAGTTGTTTTTTTCCATGTGGAGATGAAATATTCCTTGACTACTATCAGCGATAGCTGAGTCTTTTAGCGCCTGTGCAAGCGATAGGACATTTTGTTGATTGCATTAAGTTGTGTTCATTTTTGGGTGAACTATCCCTTTAAACTATACTATATTTGCTTGTTGTTTATCTCGTTCATGGAAGACCTGAAAATATCAGGGACATTTTAACATTGTGGCTTACAGGCATGAAAATGAACAACACAGTGAAACAAATTTTTTATAAAAGTTTTGTTATGCTTCTTTATGAAGTTTGACATGCTGAATACGAAAATCACTTTTTGTGATTACTTTGATACATTACTAATTGTTTCAATTAATGATACATTACTTTTTCTGTATCATTAACAGTGCTCATGAAAATGAAAAATGCTAACAAATTATACAAGCTAATATGTTATTACTCATCATGCATAAAAATTGCACGGTACATGCATAATACTAAGCTAACATCAGTTTAACATAAAGAGTTACCAAAAGTGAGTGACCAAAACTTCAAAAGTGTATGTTGGATAAATTTTAGTATTTTATGACTAGTCTCACAATGTTCTGAAATGTTCCAGAAAGCACTAGAATATTACAGAATGTTACAGAAACTTCTAGAATGTTCCATCCTTGCAAAAGCAATATATCTTTTTTTTTTTAAATGCAAAATTAGTACAAAAACTTATCTGTATTGAACCAATGTTTCATAATTAATGATAGAAGTTTTTTTCAACTAAATTTTGAAGCATGAATTTGAATGATTTTACTAAAACTTCTATGATTAAAAGAGACCGGAAGCATCACAGAAAAGTCTTCAGATTTTAAAGAAATAGGTATCGAATTTGTATTTTACCTCGTCTTTGAGTTTCTAAACGTTTGTATTATCTTGCATCCCTCACATTTCATTAGCATAAATTATTAAAAGGCTTTGCTTGCTAAAGCAGCACAGCCAGAACTGTGTGTAAACGGATACATATTGTTTTCCAGAGGGTTAGATATATGTGAAAAAAATCTACTATTCCTTTTTTAAGACAGTCTGTAATAAAGCTTGTAGCTACACCAGGAAAAAAATTACTAAACGTGGGTAATGATGTGAAAAGAGAAGTTATGGGTTGTTTGTTCAAACTTGATTTGTTGTACCTGTTGAATGATGGTGAAACAAGCGCACTGCTGTGTTCTGTGGCTGTGAATAATGAACTTGCATCGTAGTCGTGAAGCTGTGCCTTCCACACCTCGGGCAAACTACTTAATTATAAAGACAGAAAAGTTTTTTACCCCCATTGAAGGGAAGAAAAAGAAATATCATCAGCAAAAATGAAGTCCTGCTCCAAAAAAAGAAAGAAGAAAAAACCAAAGAAATATCATCAGCAAAAATGAAATCCTGCTTAAAAAAAAAACTAATAAAGAAATATGCTTTTGCAGCATGCTTTATTATTTTGCCATCCAATGCTGAATAATTTATACGAGGAAAAACTAGCATTGAGGTTGACGTTTAAGCTCTTTGTCAATGTCTTCTATTTCCAATGCTTTCAGAAAACCTTCATTTATTTTGTTTGTTGGATCCTTCAGTAAAAGAGACCACACAAAACTGATGCGAATTCCACTTGATTTGCTTGCAAAGGAAAAACAAACTTGAGCTTTGTAACACTGCTTCTTTCCCGTGCTAAACAACATTCATCTGATCTCTTGGGAGACGGCCCACCAGCTTTGTCTCATTATGACTGTAAATTCGTTCTAGAGACGGAGCATCCGACATTCCGATGAAAGACTTGGAATGACTGTGATGTGTTTTTCAACCTCTTTGCATTTGTAAAAAGAAATAGATTCTGGCCTAATCGCTGTACCAAAGAATGCCAAGAGTGATTTCATCATGTTAATCTCAAGTGTGATTGCTTTACATCCATACCAAGAGTGAACATTCACCCACAAATATTAATAAACTATTTTAAGGTGAAACAGTTATTTTCTATCGACTTGTTCTCACTACAAATTTTAATTATTTATTTTTGATTATTTATTTATATTTCAATCATGACAACTCTCTGAAGATTTAACGTGGTGATGGATATGACGATGTTAATGTATTTGGTCTTGGCGGAATAGATCTGCTGCTGGATTGCTGCTGCTGTTGGTTATTGCTGTAGTTGTTAACAACCTGTCCACCTGCGCCATCTAGAGTTTCATGACTGAACTATATATTTATTTTGTATTTATTTTATTTATTATATATTAATTTATGCTTTTGTTTTTAATATGCTTTGGTTTCTGTTTTACTTTTTTATTGTTTGTTTTTATGGTTTTGCTTATGTTTTTTTTTACCTTTGTTTTGATATGAGAACAGTTCGTTTTGTGCACAAGAAACATAAAAGCCAACAGTAATCACGCAGATCAAAAAGACATGATAATGTGTTTTAGATATATTTATACTTTGCATACCTAGTTGCATTTAATTGCAAAACTCTACTGTTACCATAAGTACACTGTTATTGTCATTATATCTTGTAATCCTTGGTTACACTTTATTTTAAGGTGTCCTTGTTACGGTGTAATTATATATTTAAGTACTGAGTAATATTAATTAACTACATGTACTTACTATATGGTTAGGGTTTGGCTTAGGGTTACTTGCAAGTAATTATGCATAATTAATAGTAATTATAATAGTAAGTGCATGTAACAAGGACATCTTAAAATAAAGTGTTACCTCATCCTATATAATGCTATCGCTATATAGCTACATAAAAGTAAAGTATTTGATCAAATTTCGTATCTTGTATTTTCCAATTGTGCTGTATCTAGCATTTAGGCATCTGCCAGAATAATTTTTCATTTTGCCTTTGGTGTGAATAGTTTTGTCTGTGTTTTGCTATATTTCTTCTTTCATATTGCGATGTACCTGAAGTCGGACAGTAGTTGTGCATCGATTTACTCTTTAAAGTTTCTCGTCCCTCATTGTCAGAATTCCTGTGATTTTTTTTTCATCAGTAAATGGTCATTCAGAGTTGTACTTTCACAAAACACACTTCTGAAAGTGTCTCTCAGCGTCCTTAAGAAACGCATCTGTAGTATTGTCGTCTTGTTGCATCATTGTTAACCTTAGAAATTCACCTGCCGACGTCTTCAAAGCTCCAGGTTTTCACGCTCGATTTTGCATGTTGTGGTGATGCAGCGCTCTGTTGTTGGCTTCAGACGTGAATGGATGGCCCCATTATAAGATGGTGGTCTACTTCAAAGAGCCGAAACCCTCCGTTAATGGATTCTGATTAGTACATAAGGGTGGCCCTTGAATACTCAAACACCTGCCCAGGGTTTTTGAGAATGGCTTTACTCCAGATCCTGTTAAAAAGACATTATGAATCATTTCGGTCTAATTAGCGTCTCGAGAACTTAATTACAATCCACACTGGACGCTTTGCCAATATTGCTTTTTCCTAATTTATTCCGTCTCGGCTTATAAAATGTCAGCTAAGGCTGTGTGTTTTCCCACACAGAGTTCACAGACATATTTCCTCTTCCATGGCAACTCCAAGCGGCGTGTAGAGCGAATCGTCTTGAGATTTGGCCACATTTCCCGGAAAACTTCTTATGGGGGATTTGAAGGGTGTTAATCCGTGGATTTGGTCGGCTGTACGCACACACGCTCACCGAGACAACAGTTTGCATTATTTGTTCCAGTTTCTCACCCTAACGGTGACGGATACAGGCACTGGTCCGTGAGCCAAGCCGAATGCTTGATCTTCACTTGAGCTTCTGTGAGGACATCTAAGACTTTTCTTTACCCTCCTTCAAACTGTTCGATCCACTTTTCCTGCTAATAGGCAGAGAGATGTCTGCTGTCATGCGGTGTCACAGCGGCGGGGTATGACTGCTGAGCCACTAACAGATCAATGAGAACACTGCTAGATACAGAAAGGTGGGAAGAGCTTTGAGATGATGTGTGGACATGTGGTCAAGGACAGGCGGAAAGCAGCGTAAAGAGTTTAATCTGGTTTTTAGTTGTCATGCATTGATTTACGCCACCCTGAGCACTGGAAAATAGTCTAATACACACATTTATAATGATACAACTCATTTTATTTTGCTTTTATGTGTACAACAACCTGGTTCAAATGGCAAGTTTGTGGTAATGTGATCTTTGAATCTTTCATGCCGGCTTCATATGTTTTAATCAAATACTTCTGTATCATTTTCTCATCATTCTGTATAATTTTTTTTTATTTAATGACTTCAAAAATGTGAAGTTGTGTAACTATCAAGTAATCAAATGTTTTCCATACACCTTTTGGTAATACTTTAGTATAGGGACCAGTTCTCACTATTAAGTAGTTGCTTATTAGCACGCCTATTATTAACATATTGGCTGTTTATTAGTAAAGCACACATTCTGCATGACCATATTCTACATCCTTAATCCTACCCAATACTTAAATTTAACAACTACCTTACTAACTATTAATAAGCAACAAATTAGGAGATCATTGAGGCAAAAGTCGTAGTTAATGGTTTGTTAATGGTGAGAATTGGTGAGAAAATAAAGTGTGATCCACCTTTTTCTCTTAACTATTTCATGCTTTTAATGAGACCTGTAATCCTTCCCATTTCAGTTATACCTTGACATATATATATTTTTTAATTAACCCCTATAACCCCTATAAAGCTGTGCGAAGTCCCTTCATGCTTCAAACGCTCCACCATCATCCCCATCCCAAAGAAATCCAAAATTACAGGTGTTTTTTTGTTCTGTCACTGTCATTCTGTTACACTGTGGAAGCTTCTGTCACGAAAACAAATTCCTCATATGTGTAAACAATAAAGCTCATTCTGATTCTGATTTGGAAAAAGTATCTGAAAATTAATTTAATTGCATTATTAATGCATTTTTTAGTAAATTAATTTGATTCAATTCAAGTTGATTTCATAACAGATCAAAAGTTTGGGTCAGAAAGATTTTTTTTTTTTAAGAAATTAATAATGAAAGAAATTCACCATGGATGCATTAAATTGATCAAAAGCAACTGTTAAGACATTTATAATGTTACAAAAGATTTCTATTTTAAATAAATGTTGTTCTTTTGAACTTTCTATTCATCAAAAAATGATGAAGAAAAATGATCACAGTTTCCACAAAAATATTAGGTAACAACAGTTTTCTACTGTTTTCTTCAGCTGTTTTGAGCACTAAATCAGCATATTAAATGATTTCTGAAGAAACGTGACACTGAAAGCTTGAGTTATGATGCTGAAAATTCAGCTTTGTCATCACAGGGATAACTTTAATTTTAAAATATATATTCTAGAAGAAATGGTTATTTTAAATTGTAAGGTATTTTTGTTTTACTATATTTTTGATCAATTAAAAGCCTTGGTGAGCATAAGAGACTTCTTTGGAAAACCTTTGAAAAATCTTCCCGGAAAAATGACATAGACTATTTTATCCTTAAGCGACACATTATTTTCTTGCTCAATGGTGGTAGGTTGCTCACCAGCTTTTGGTTAAGAGCCAGCGTGACTGGTGTCTTGTGTCTATTTCAGGTGGCCCTGCATGCGTGCGGAGTGGCGACAGACATGGTGTTGGATTGCTGCCTCCAGGCACGGGCGGGATTTGTGATTAGTCCGTGCTGCTACGGGTTCATTCAAAACACACTCAAGTTCAACTTTCCCAAGAGGTGAAAACTGCGTCTCTGTCTCTCTGACTTTTCTTGCTTGCTATCTTTCTTTTCATATGTTCGCCTAACTCCACAGTACACAATGACGGTGTAGATCTGTAATAATCCACAGAATTAAATGCTAAGCTCTGCATACTCAGGAAAAAATACAGACAAGAATGAATGAGGACGATCAAAAATAGAAAACCATAATAAACAT